CCTGGGCAACATAGCAAGATCTCATCTCTACTAAAAATAAAAAAATTAGCCTGGTGTGGTGGTGCATACCTGTCGTCCCAGCTACCTGGGAGGTTGAGGTAGGAGAATCACTTAAGCCTTGGAGGTTGAGGCAGTAGTAAGCCATGATCATGCCACTACACACCAGCTTGAGCTACAGAGTGAGACCCTGTCTCAAAAAAAAGAAAAAAACAAAAAAGAGAAATAGCAGTATAAGCATATTATTTAGAAGTATTGAGACAAATACAAAAGAAATAGCTAAAATAGCTAAAAGTTATTGTGGGGGTGAGGTAGGGGTAGGGGGGCAGAAATTGAGGCATAGGTAATTGATTTTTTCTGTTTTGTTTTGTTTTGTTTTGAGGCAGGGTTTCACTCTCTTGCCCAGGCTGGAGTACAGTGACCCAATCCCAGCTCACTGGAGCCTCTACTTCCCAGGTTTAAGTGATGCTCCCACCTTGGCCTCCCAAGTAACAGGAATTATCGGCATGAGCCACCATGCCCAGCCCTGATGGGTTTTTTTTTTTTTTTTTTTTTTTTGTAATAAGCCTAATAGAACTATTTGACTCCTAAACTATGTACATGCTTAGTTTTGATTGAAACAAACATTGCAGCACAGAGGCACTTTCAGGCCTAAGAATTCAAAAGATACAAAAAGAAACAATTTGATAAATCAATACAACACACATTTACACACCAGGAAAAAAGAAAAGAAGAGGGAGTTTCAAAGGACTTTGTAAACTCTCAAGCGCTAGGAACAAGTTAGAAGACTCAGTAGCATGGAAGCAAGAGAACATGGGTAAGGGTATGGGCTCTAGGTTCCAACAATCCCAGTTTACACTCTAGCTCTGCTATGTACCAGCTGTGTGACCTTGAGAATGTTGCTAAGGCTCAGTTTCCTTATTTGTGAAACAGTTATAATAATAGTCCCTCTCTATGAGAGACTGCGAGAGTAAAATGAGATAAGCCTTTGCACAGAGAACACATTGGAAAGTTTTAGCTACTATTAATCTCTTTTGTTCCTTCTTCTTCTCTGTGGATTAATAGACATTAAATGGAGGACTAAAAGGGAGTCAGCTTAAAAGAAAATCTAAACAAAAAATCTGAGATGATACACAGACTGGAGAACCAGCGTCTAAGTAATTGAAAACTGTGATTGTTGTGATTTCAGCAGTGTAATTGGCAAGCCAATTGCCTTAGAGCTGCAGCTGTCCATGCCTTCCTCTGTCCCCTTTCCTTTCCATTGTCATTATCATCTTTTTTTTTTTTTTTTTTTTTTTGAGACAGAGTCTCACTCCGTCACCAGGCGCCAGGCTGGAGTGCAGTGGCGTGACCTCGGCCGACTGCAACCTCGTCCTCCAGGGTTCAAGCAATTCTCCTGCCTCAGCCTCCCGGGTACGTGGGACTACAGGCGCACGCCACCATGCCCAGCTAATTTTTTTGTATTTTTAGTAGAGACAGGGTTTCACCGTGTTGGCCAGAATATCATCATCTTTTTTTTTTTTAAATTTTTTTTATCATCATCTTTTAATGGTTACTGAGCATTTCATCCATTCAGCAAATATTTATTGAATGCCTAATGTGCTTCTTTTAGTCTCTGATTCCCATGTGCTCAACTGATCTAGCTACATTATTTAAAGACAACAGGTTAAGACTATAGCTATGGAAAGGAACTTTTCTCCTGCAACAAAAAGTAGTTGTGATCAATGACAGGTAAGGAGGCAAATTAATCCAAGAGCAACCACAGGGCATCCAACTCTCACAGAAGGTAATTTTCCTCTACACCTAGTGCAATTTTCCTTCCAAACATCATTACTTTTCCCTAATCTGGTAATCACAAAATGTAATTTTTTTTTTTTTTTTGAGACAGAGTCTCGTTCTGTCACCAGGCTGGAGTGCAGTGGCGTAACCTCGGCTCACTGCAGCCTCCGCCCCCCGGGTTCAAGTGATTCTCCTGCCTCAGCCTCCGGAGTAGCTGAGACTATAGGCGCACCGCCGTGCCCAGCTAATTTTTGTGTTTTTAGTAGAGACGGGATTTCACCATGTTGGCCAGGATGGTCTCAATCCCTTGACCTTGTGATCCGCCCACCTCATCCTCCCAAAGTGCTGGCATGAGCCACCATGCCCAGCTGTGATTTTTCAAATTAAGTTTTTATGTCATTCTAAATATGCCTGATTCTTCCTTGAATTCTAGGGAGCAAGTTTTTTTGTTTTGTTTTGTGTGTGTTTGTTTGTTTTGAGACTGAGTCTTGCTCTGTCACCCAGGCTGGAGTGCAGTGGTGCCATCTCAGCTTACTGCAACCTCTGCCTCCCGGGTTCAAGTGATTTCCCTGCCTCAGCCTCCTGAGTAGTTGGGATTGCAAGCATATGCCATCACGCCCAGCTCATTTTTGTATTTTTAGTAGAGACAGGGTTTTGTCATGTTGCCCAGTCTGGTCTCAAACTCCTGGGCTCAAGTGATCCACCGCCTCAGCCTCCCAAAGTGATGGGATTACAGGTGTGAGCCACCACACCCAGCCAGAATATAGTTATTTTTGTTGTTGCTGTTGTTGTTTTTTTTTTTCCTACCCATCACTCAGAAATGTTGCCAGGGCTGAGGCACCGTTAAGGACCATGAGGCATTCTTTAGGACCACCATTCCATTACCATTCCTTCACTGAAAGAGTGTCCAGAGTTAAATGGTACTTTCTGTGACTCAAAGGTTTTTTGTTTTGTTTTGTTTTTTGCAGCTTCATGGTTGGTTTTGGCCAAACTTTTTATTTAGTATTCTGTAGTTCACACACACTTAAATGGTCTTATTGGGGGAGGGAAAAGGGGAGGTTCTTGCAGATTCCCAAGGAAATGTCAGAAAGGCAAAATGGCCAGCATTATCCATTTGCTTTTTTGGGTTTACTGGGTGGCTATTTCCCTACATAAGCATCTGATTTCAGGTTTTTCATACTGAGAACATTGAGATTTCAGATGGAAGATACCCTAAAATCTTATGAGCAGCATACCTCAACCACCCTCTAATAGCTAGCTTGTTTGTATAAGCAGAACGATTCATCTCTCCATTTTAGATGGCTAGATGTTTTGTGGAAGATCTTAAAATTGCTTGCCTCATTTACTGGGAAAAATCAGATAGGAAGTGGCCTTTAGGGACGCTTTTATTTGGAAAGTTACAACACTAATGCAAGTCTTAACACACTTCACATTTGCTTGTTGAAAAGCAATGTTATAAAGTCAAAAGAATGCTTGAAGAACTGACTCACTGTCCTTTATAAACATCCAGTTGTTGTTTTCTCCCTCCCTCTCCCAGCCTCTTTTATGTTTCTTATCCATGTAGCTGAGCCCTTTGGACCTGAAGGTTCCATCCAACCCATACCTATGACCAACCTGACCAGTCTTTATCCCAACACCCAGTGTGAGTTTGCCATTGCTGCTCTGATTCTGGTTTTATACTGCAATTTCAACAGAGTTCAAATTTCTGAGATCTGGGCCCTACTTCTGGAATCTGAGCTCCTTTTTGATTCCTTTAATTGGCTCCCTTGTCTTAATACACCAAGAAATCACAATCCCTCAGAGTCCAATATGCTCCTATTACTCCCCCATTGCAGATGCTGCTATTTGCAACATCCCTGACTCAAACAGCAGGCTGTTTATCTGGATCTCTGCATATTCCTTTTTCTGGGTTACCCAGCACTGTGCTGTCCAGTTTAGAAAAATTCTCTAGCTCCCAGTTATTCCTCCTTCTTATTAACAACTTCCCAGTCTATCCTCCCTTCTGATGTGTACCATTGAGGCTGGACTTCCTTCTAGAACCTGCAGCTGGGTTTATCTTATACCTGTCTTGATTCAATGTACCTTGTCCACCTATAGTTAATCAGAACATGTTGGTCCTGCCCTAAGACAAGACAGTCATTTGGCCAACCTACTGGGCAGAATACAATTCTCATAAGGAAGTAGGAAGTCTAAATTTTGAGATCAAGGCTACTTGTACATACATAGCTCTTATACACATATATACACATAACCCATACCTTTCCTTACCCAGATTGCTATCTGCTTGTGAAAAGGTAGACATATGTCTATTTCCTACTTTTGAGTCACTGACTGGATTTGAAAGCATATTGCACTAATAAAATAATTAGTTCCATTGGCAGAGATTTCAAGAAAATACAAGGTTTTGCATATGGGGGTATAATAATGACTAATGCAACTTACTATAAGCTAGGCTCTGTTTTAAGTGCTTTATATAAACTAACTCATTTAATCTTCATAACTATCCAGTGAAGTAGGTTCTGTTATTATCCCCATTTCACAAATAAGAAAATTAAAGCACAGAGGCTGGGTATGGTGGCTGACACCTGTAGTTCCGGCACTTTGGGAGGCTGAGGCAGGATGATCACTTGATGCCAAGAGTTCAAGACCAGCCTGGGAAATATAGCAAGACCTCATCTTTAAAAAAATAACATTTTTTTTTTTTTTGAGACAGAGTCTCGCCCTGTCACCCAGGCTGGAGTACAATGGCATCATCTTGGCTAACTGCAACCTCTGCCTCCTGGGTTCAAGCAATTCTCCTGCCTCAGTCTCCCAATTAGCTGGAATTACAGGAACCTGCCATCACACCCGGCTAATTTTTGTATTTTTAGTAAAGACAGGGTTTCACAATGTTGGTCAGGCTGGTCTCAAACTCCTGGCTTCAGGTGATCCAGCTGCCTTGGCCTCCCAAAGTGCTGGGATTACAGGCGTGAGCCACTGGGCCTGGTCAGAAAAATAATAACAATAATTTTTTTAAATGTTTAAATTAAAGCACAGAGAGCTTGAGTAATTTACCAGTAATTTAACTATATGAAAATATATTTTCATATAGTTAGAAAAACTGGGTGTTGAACCCAAGCAATCCTAGAGGACTATTGTGCTATATTTCTTCTGATCTTTATATCCTCCTTCAAACTGGATTTTGTAGTTCTTAAAGTTCAGCCTTTTTTCAGGCGATCAGGAAGATGGTGGACATTCAGATGGAGCATGCCTACTTAAAAGAGCCAACCATTTTTCAAAACAAGAAGAGGGTCCTGCTGGGAGAAACTGGCAAGGAGAAGCTCCCTCGGTACTACAAGAACATTGGTCTGGGCTTCAAGACACCCAAAGAGGTTATTGAGGGCCCCTACATTGACAAGAAATGCCCCTTCACAGTTTATGTCTCCATTGGAGGGCAGATCCTCTCTGGCGTGGTGACAAAGATGAAGATGCAGAGGACCATCATCATCTGCCAAGACTACCTCCACTACATCCGCAAGTACAACTGCTTTGAGAAGAACCAAAAGAACATGTCCATACACCTGTCCCTGTGCTTCAGGGGTGTCCAGATCAGTGACATCGTGACAGTGGGTGAGTGCCAGCCTCCGGAGCCCTTCCTGACACCTTACACTAAAATTAACTCCAGATGGATTAAAGACTTAAACATAAGCCCTAACACCATAAAAACCCTAGAAGAAAACCTAGGCAAAACCATTCGGGACATGGGCATAGGCAAGGACTTCATGACTAAAACACCAAAAGCATTGGCAACATAAGCCAAAATAAACAAATGGGATCTAATTAAACTCCAGAGCTTCTGTAAAGCAAAAGAAACAATCATTAGAGTGAACTGGCAGTTAACTAACAAAATGGGAAAAATTTTTTGCAATCTACCCATCTGACAAAGAGCTAATATCCAGAATCTACAAAGAACCAAAACAAATTTATAAGAAAAAACAAACAAACCCATTCAAAAGGGTGCAAAGGATATGAACAAACACTTTTCAAAAGAAGACATATATGAGGCCAACAAACATATGAAAAAATGTTTATTATCAATGGTCATTAGAGAAATACAAATCAAAACCACATTGAGATACCATCTCACGCCAGTCTGGAAACCATCATTCTCAGCAAACTGGCACAAGAACAGAAAACCAAACACCCCATGTTCTCACTCATAGACGGGTGTCAAACAATGAGAACACATGGACACAGGGAGGGAAGCAGCACACACTGGTGTCTGTTGGGAGGGGCTAGAAGAGGGACAGTGGGGGTGGGGAGGTTGGGGAGGGATAGCATGGGGAGAAATGCCAGATATAGGTGACGGGAGGATGGTGGCAGCAAACCACCTTGCCATGTATGTACCTATGCAACAATCCTGCAGGATCTGCACATGTACCCCAGAACCTAAAGTACAGTAAAAAAAATAAATCAGTAAAATAAAGTTCAGAAGTTTCAGTAAATCAAGGAACTTTTAGTGCATTTGGCACTGTCTTCATGATGCATTTGCTAATGTGAACAGGAAAGCAGTCAATTACCAGTAAAGTGTGTTTTATATTTATTATTATTATTATTATTATATGGAGTTTTGCTCTTGTTGCCCAGGCTGGAGTACAATGGTATGACCTCAGCTCACTGCAATCTCCGCTTCCTGGATTCAAGTTATTCTTCTGCCTCAGCCTCCCTAGTAGCTGGAATTACAGGTGCCCGCCACCACACCCGGCTAATTTTTGTATTTTTAGTAGAGACAGGGTTTCACCATGTTGGCCAGGCTGGTCTCGAACTCCTGGCCCCAAGTGATCCACCTGCCTTGGCCTCCCAAAGTGCTGGGATTACAGGCATGAGACACCGCTCCCAGCTGTTTTGTACTTATTAAACAATACTGTAAAATTCTGATGAAATACCTATTGTAATTCAGACTTGAGGTTTCTCTTTTTGATCTTCAGAAACTGATCCAGCTGTTTCTTCCAGCTGCCTGGTAATTCAACAGGAACAAAATCAGTGAACCAGTTCAAATTCTTAATTCTGAAAAGAATGCATTTCCTTTTGTCTTCATAAGACACCTACATTTAAATAACAATGCAAAAGCAACCAGGGGCTGTGTGGGCAAATTTACATAATTGGTGTCAGGGGTCTAGAGCAGAGGCAAAAGGGGGCTAGAAATTGATGGAGTTCATAGAGCTGATTATTCCATCCATCTTAGCATCTTTTCAAATCTTTTATAATGGAGACATTAAACTGCTGTGCATATGTCTTTTGTCTCTCTAAATTAATGCGGTTTAATTAAGTTAAAGAAAGCTAATTTAACCATAGGTTTTGCATGTTTAGATCTATGCTTTTTGGTTTAGAACATGTATGATAAAGCATGTGACCATTTCTGCAAAGATTTCATGCCAGTCAGCATTTCTTTGTGACCCATTTGCTCACAGAACCTGCTACATCTGTCATACTGAACAGCCAGTACATCTACTAGAAAACTAATCTTAATAATTTAAGCAAAATTTTAAGAAGCCAAATACCTGCAGTAAATATGGCATATGTTCTTCATAGATTTTAGCCATTCTATGAATAGAAACATAGACATTTTTCTTTTTTTTTTTTTTTTTTTTGAGACGGAGTTTCACTCATGTTACCCAGGCTGGAGTGCAATGGCGCGATCTCGGCTCACCGCAACCTCCGCCTCCTGGGTTCAGGCAATTCTCCTGCCTCAGCCTCCTGAGTAGCTGGGATTACAGGCACGCACCACCATACCCAGCTAATTTTTTGTATTTTTGGTAGAGACGGGGTTTCACCATGTTGACCAGGATGGTCTCGATCTCTTGACTTCGTGATCCACCCGCCTCGGCCTCCCAAAGTGCTGGGATTACAGGCTTGAGCCACCGCGACCGGCCGACATTTTTCTTAGACAGCCATAGTTGTAGGGCACTACATCCCACTCAAATTAGTTCAAGTACAAGGGGATGATGTTTATTGAAAAGATTCACAAGTAACTTATGAAACCAAACTGTTAGGACAGCCAGGTTTCACAAGGGATTTGACATGAAACTTGAAAGTCACAAACAAGATATTATTTTCGTCTCCTCTGTGCTCCATAATGGCTTCTCTCCTTTCTTTGAAGATTGGCTTTCTCTGCTTCAGTATCCCCTGGTAGAAAATGGCAGTCCAGCCCCAGCTCTTCATTATCTTTTTTTTTTTTTTTTTGAGATGGAGTTTCACTCTTGTTGCTCAGGCTGGAGCCGTGCAATGGTGCGATCACGGCTCACCACAACCTCTGCCTCCCGGGTTCAAGCAATTCTCCTACCTCAGCCTCCTGAGTAGCTGGGATTACAGGCATAAGCCACCACACAAAGCTAATTTTGCATTTTTAGTAGAGACAGGGTTTCTCCATGTTGGTCAGACTGGTCTCGAACTCCCGACCTCAGGTGATATCCACCCGCCTTGGCCTCCCAAAATGCTGGGATTACAGGCGTGAGCCATTGCGCCTGGCCTTTCTTCATTATCTAACAGTTCCATTGCCCAATATAAACAAACCAAAACCTCTGCATCCCAATTCCAAATTCCCAGGAGAGAGAATGTAATTAACTTAAGTCAGGTGTCTACCTCTTATTCAGTCAGCTCGGGATGGACTGTATGAGCAATGTCATACAGTCACTGGGTTGCTTTCTGCACATTAGGAACTGGGGTTAGCCGGCTTTCTGGAAAGGATTTCACAGCACATTGTTGCCATTCTTTGAAATGAGAGATAAGGAGGTAACGCATATGTCAATTTGCTCAATTGGGCTATTCCATAATATTTCAAAACACTGCGTTGTATATGATAAATAAATAAAATTTTGTTTTGTTTTTGAGATGGGGGTCTCTCTGTTGCCCAGGCTGGCCTTGAACTGGGCTCAAAGGATTCTCCCACCTCAGCCTCCCAAGTAGCTGGGACTACCGGTGTGTATCTCTACATCTGGCTGATACATAACATTTTTGTCAGTTTAAAAAATTAAAAAGAAATTTTTTTAAATTAGAGATAATGAATTGCAGATAAGCCCTCTAGGATACACATTTTGTCCATCTTCACATCTCAGATCCATTCTGATCCCTATTAATAACCTGCAACACTTGATTTTTTTCATTTCTGCATCTGCCAAAATCATCAGCCAAGTGTTGACAAGATAGTTGTGAGCATTTGTCAACTTGTACAACTGATGGTGACTCTCCTCATGGAGAATTTCCTGGAAATTTTATGTTTATGCTTCAAGAAATTTCACAAGTAATGCCTGCAAATATCTCCACCTTGCCCTTGAGCTAGGTGCTCAGTGACCAAAAATAATATCAGGAAAGCCAATCCACATCTTTTAGTTTTAACCTCCAAATAAATGAGACCAATGTAAATACATCTGAGTGTGAAGATGTGTAAAAGGAAAAATCAAAGTGATATCCTTATTAATTTACACATTTTAATTTTGACTTCCAAGCTGTAAATAAGCCACTTTATTAAAATATAGCCTTAACCAGAGGTTGCAGTAAGCCAAGATTGCACCATTGCACTCCAGCCTAGGCAACAAGAGGGAAACTCCATCTCAAAAAAAAAAAAAAAAATATATATACACACACACACACACACACACACACACACACACACACACACACACATCTCCATATCGTTGTCAATTCCAAGTGACATTTCAGGGAAAAATAAGTGATGATCCATCTAATGACCGAATTCAGCCATGATAATTATTCCATGTCACTGTAATTTAGCCCAAGCCTCTTTCCATGTGAAGAAGGAGAAAGCGCTCTCTTGTTTTTAATTTGCTTTAATTTTTAACTTTTACAAGCTATATGAAAGTTCCCTTCTGGTATCTCAAGTTTCCTAGATATAGGAGATAAAGATCTCATGCTGAATGACTTTTTAAACTCACTCAGTAAGAACTTAGAATTTTAGGAGCTGAGCTAGAGATGACTTCCTAATGCATCTATGCAGAAAACGCTGATTATGGGTACTAGTCCAGGAATAACCACAGCCATATTTTTGCTTTCTTGTGTTTTCCAAATGACTCATAAAGGACCTTCTGCATTCAAACAGTGTGTCAGGAAATGGGAATGATAAAATACAGAAAGTGGACATTGCTGTCTCTTCTTGATGAATGCAGCTTTTGTTACCTGGTATGAGGCCAGAATAGCTTATCTAAAACAGGAGGGAGTTGTACTCCATGCCAGCCACTTCCTGTGCTCTGTGCTATTTCTCTGCTATTTGTGTGACTTCTTTCTGGGGGAAGAAATGCTGCTTTGTCTTTGAGAATGTCTGGTCCAGTGGTTCTTAACTCTGTCTGCAAATTAGAATTACCTGGGGACAGTTAATAAAACACACACACAAAACAAAACAAAACAAAATAATGTGTTGATTTCACCAGTCAAATTAGAATTTCTGGAAACTAAACTTGGATATCACTGTTTTTAAAATGCTCTGCAAGAGATTTAAATGTGCCACTAGAGTTGAGAACCCCTAAATTAGATTTGATGAAGATAACCTGACTATTATAGACCAATGTTTCTCAACCTTTATTTCATTATCAACTCTCAAGGAACCTCTTTAGACTTTTTTTCTAATCATCCCCCCCATAAATAGTTAATATCACAGATTATATCTATTTGTGTACTGTATATACAATAACGTGTGTGTGTGTGTGTTTCATTTTGGGGGCCGAAAAATCTTCCTGTCTCAGTCTCTCAAGTAGTTGGGATCACTGATGCAGGCCACTACACCTGTCTAATTGTTTTATTTTTTTGTTAAGAGATAAGGGCTCACTATGTTGCCCAGGCTGGTCTCCAACTCCCGGCCTCCAGCAGGCCTCTTGCCTCAGCCTCCTAAGAAGCTGGGATTACAGGCATGAGCCACCACACACATCACATCTGAGTTCTATAACATTAAAAAAAAAAAAAAAGAGTATGGGCTGGGCTTGGTGGCTCACACCTGTAATCCCAGCACTTTGGGAGGCCGAGGCAGACGGATCACGAGGTCAGGAGATTGAAACCATCCTGGCTAACACAGTGAAACCCTGCCTCTAAAAAAAAAAAAAAATTAATTTATTTAAAAAAGTATGAAGCCTGGGCAACAAAATGAGACCCCCATCTCTGCAAAAAGTTAAAAAAAAAAAAAATAGCTAGGCATGGTGGTACACACCTGTAGTCCCAGCCATAAGGGAGGCTGAGGCAGGAGGATTGCTTGAGCCTAGGAGGTCAAGGCTGCAGTGAACAGTGTTCATGCCACTGCACTCCACGCTGGGTGACAGAGCAAGCCCTGTCTCAAAAAATTTAAAAAAGAGCATGACTTTTTTGCCCTTCAAGAACCAATTTTTGGCTGGGCATGGTGGCTCATCCCTGTAATCCCAACACTTTGGGAGGCTGAGGAGGGCAGATTACCTGAGGTCAGGAGTTCAAGACCAGCCTGGCCAACATGATGAAACCCCCACCTCTACTAAAAATACAAAAAAAAAAAAAAAAAAAAAATTAGCTGGTGTGGTGGCAAGCACCTGTAATCCCAGGTATTTGGGAGGCTGAGGCAGGAGAATTGCTTGAATGTAGGAGGTGGAGGTTGCAGTGAGCCAAGACAGTGCCATTGCACCAGCCTGGGCAACAAGAATGGAACTCTGCCTCAAACAAAATTTTTGCTCTCCATGGGGTGATACTTCTCCCACTAAGAATGTATGATGTAGGGCTGTACTGCAGTGACAAACAACCCAAAATCTTGGTGACTTAAAACAACAGAAGTTTACATCTCACTAGCACAACATGTGCATTGGAGGTCAGCAAAGTAGCTCTGCTTGCCTCCATCATTATCTTCACTTTCGCACCCAGACTGCCAGAGCATCTTCTATCTGGAATGTTATTGGTAACCGTGGCAGAAGAAAAGCGAATCACGAAAAAGCGTGCTCGGGCTCTTAAAACTTCTGCTAGAGGAACCCCCAGAGCTTCCACTCGAATTTCAATGGCCAAAGCAACTCACATGGTGAAACCTGAGCTCCACAGGACAGGTAATTGTGATCTCCCCACATAAAGAGGAACCAGATATCAGTGAGCAGACTACTAAAGCAGACAATGTTTCAGACATATCCACATACACACTCCTATTGTCCAGTAAGATCTAATCTTCTGGTTATTGGGCACCTGGCTCCAGACCTAAGATAGGGCAAAACATGGCACTGGCAATGCTATTTCTTTCTGATTTCTATGCCCACCTTTTACTTGAACTTGAGGTGGAATTAAGAGAACACAGTGGGCATTTCTTTGTTACGGTTCTTCTAACACTGCGGCGACGAGCCCAGCACTTGCATTATAAACAAGCCCCCTTTTAGTAGACTCTCCTGATAATCTCTGGGATCACATCTGGTTTTCTATATTGGCTTTTGACTGGGTTTCATATTTCCAGTCTGAGGTTTGGGAGTACCCATTGACTACATTATATAGCCTGTACAAAACTTGTTTTAGCTTCA